GGGGTGCCGGTCTTGTAGTCATCGAAGCCACCGCTGAACTCTACGAAGCCAAAGTACGCGGCAATCTGCGCCCAGCCTGCCATTGGCACCTTGGAGATAGCTGCGAGTCCGTTCGGGATGTCGGCGAACTTGAGGCCGGCGGATGGGCTCAAAAAGCCAGGCCTCAGTGCGTGTATGTTCGTGTGAGTTCCATCCATTGCACTTACTGACTCGTGCAGGATCTCATGGCTCTTTGCGATTTGCCAACAGACACACGCGCGATGTACATGGAAAGAAGTTTAAGAACTCCTGCTACAGTCGCTGTTGCAATGGCCGCTCCTGCTGATGTTGATGATGATGATGATGAAGATGAGGACGACAATGGTGATGGTCATGACGGTGGTGATTGTGATGATTAGGATGATGGTGATGTTGTTGTGATGATGTGTGGTAATGATGATTTATGTGATAATGATGATGAAGGTTGTGATGATGCTGCTGCTGCTGATGATGATGATGATGATGATGACGATGCTGATGATGCTGTTTTTTTGTCTGCGCTATCAGCAGTACGTCTGCTATCACCAATTAGGTTCACATGGCCCCTAGGTACTGTACGCGTATTACGCAGCGCATGTGGTAAATACAAAGATCAATATAAGAGGCCATCAGATGTTACATGTTTCGCCAAATCAGGGACACCTTTTGGGGGGGTATCTCTCATAAGGATTATACTATATTGGGGTAGATAAGGGGTTGCCCCATGCATGGAAACTCCCATTCGGGTTTCCTGTACCGGACCGTACCTAGCATAGCTCCAAAACCCCACAACCTAAACCCTGAACCTTAAACCCTAAACCCTGAACCCTAAACCATCTGGAATCTCTGGGGCCGCAGCAGCTTCCCGGTGACTTCCGGCGTGATGTAACCTCAGATAATAATTGGGTTTAGGGGTTTAGGGTTTATCGGTTTAGGGTTCAGGGGTTTAGGGGTTTAGGATTTAGGGTTTGGGGTTTAGGGTTTCAACAGCTAACGAAAAATGTACGACCAATAGTACAAGCAATAGTACTGGAAGAGGAGTTTGGTTGGATTACCCTACGTGTCCAAGTACCCCAATGATAAGGCTTTAGGGTACCTAAAGCCCAAATATTTGGGGTTTTTGACCCTTAGGGTTACTGCTCATCACAGGGTAGGAGCTGCTAGGGATCCTGGGTATGTATATATATATATATGAATATATACATAAATATATTTATAGTGTGTTAAGGTTTAGGGCTTCGGGTTTAGCGTTAGATATATATATATATATGTATATATAATTTCTGAGCAAGAACCAACTTGTACTCCTGACCCCTGAAGCATAGAAACCCTACGCTATACAAGTTAGGATACCTAGGATCCTCTCAGTTAGAAATCACCTGATCAATTCTTGCCTTGCTCTGGGATGATTCCTCTCGAGGGACATCCAAAGTAGAGCGGTTAGTGCTTGGAACTTCCGCGAACACAAGGATTTGAGGGTCTAGGTTGTCGAGATTAGCCAATTTGGGCCAGTATATAAGAATTTAGGGGTTCTGGGTGTAGGGCTCCACACTTTGTTGTTGGAGACTTTTATTCAAGCAGCTACTGAAGCCGAAGCCGTGAGCGCTGATGAGCTGCCAATACCCCAACCCTAAACCCTAAATCCTAAACCTGCAACCTTAAACCCTAGATCCTAAACCCTAAACCCATCCCATCAAGCACGAAGCCCTCCCATCTCACAGGGCCTAGCCTTACATCCTTCTACCCACCCAGATCTGAGAAATCTCAGGCTCTACCTGCCCTGGAAACCGCTTTAGCTTCTTTTCTTTCAGATCATGGTAAAGCCCGAAGGCTCCAAATGGCCCAATGAAGGTACTATTTATAGACATTGGGGCTCAGTGTAGGTATTATTTATAGACATGGAGCCCCGGGGAAGGGTTTAGGGTTTAGGGAAGAACAATAGTATTTGCCGGACGCCTTGCAAGCTGGCAAGTGTTTCAACTCTTACCGAATCCTTCCCAACCCTGCACTACACCCAGCTCACGCGGAACATTGGGGACTATGGTACACTTGTTCTGACTCAGTGCTGCTCATATGAGTTTGTGACAGCTAAGTCCGGGAAAGCAGCGCCAATAAAGCTGACTCCCACAAAGCGGCAAATGCGCTTTGGATTCCGCAATTCTGGGTTTAGGATCGGGGAATGTTGAGACCAGGGATGTATGTTGTTGTGAACTGCCAGCTACCACAGCAAGTCTCAAGACTTCAGACTACTCAACGCCCTGTGACCAATCCCGAAATCCTACACGCCCCCTGAAGCCCAAAACGTATGTAGAATCAATATAATGGTTGATTTGACACTTTTCGCTGCTTGTGTGCCATTGCTTAACCCTAAACCTCAAATCCTAAACACTGAACACTAAACCCGAAAATCCTAAACCCTAAGCCCTAGACCGCCGTGTGTCAGGGCAAATCCTGGACTTTTTACTTTCAAGCATGCGGCACCCCTTGAAATGCAAAACTACGCTGCAGGTCTAGGGTTTAGGGTTTAGGATTTAGGTTTCGGTTTGGGGTTTAAGGTTACGGGCTCGCAAGAAACTCTTTTCTTCTTGGTCCTCTGCTTGCACTGCGCATTCTGAAGTTCGTTGCAGGAAGCGTCTGCATCCCGAAACTCCAGAGACATCACAAACTCACACCCAAACACCAAGAATATGACCAATGGCCCCAACACCCAAAACCTTCAACTGAACACCCTGAAGGAGGTTTGGGATTTATAAGCCCTTATCAATAAACAATAAGACGCGTTCAGGCTGCCGCGTAGGCAGGCGTCTTCAGCATCGACCCCAAAGAGCCTAAATCCCCAACCATCCGATATCTCAAAAACGGCACTTGGGTGTTTGTCAATCACACCATTGGAGCCATTGTCTAAACTCCTGGTATACCCCCTAATAAACCCTACACTAGTCCCCTATAGAATCTCCTACATACACCTATTTCAGAGTTTAAACTCTGGTACATTCAGGGTCTATGGTTTAGGGCTTCAGGTTTACGTTGCCCTTTGAAACTGCTGGGATGTGGGGGGAGTATAACAGGAATCTGGGGGGTCGCCAGCAAGGGCTTGGATAATTACTACTATGCTGTTAGCATTACTATTATTTCAACAAGTAGTAGTAGTAGTAGTACTACTAGTAGTAGTAGTAGTAGTAGTAGTAGTGGTAGTAGTAGTCCACCACCCTTATTGCTACTACGGTACTATTATACTCGTGGTCGTATTGAAAACGGGAACTTCGAGAGACTCCCATCTCGTCCGAGGCACCCATAGCAGCCATCATGCTGATTCGGCCATGCTTCCTTCGCATGGCAACAGGTTTAAGGTTAAGGATTTAGGGAGGCTTCCAGGTGAAGTGATCCTAAATCCTGAACCCTACTTGAATTATCTACTTAGGTCCCTACGTTCTCCTAAACCCTAAGCCCGAAAAGGAATTGCTTAGGCCTTTACATTATTCGAAGCCCTAAGGCCGAAATGGAACCCTTTTTGGCTTCCGAAATAGGCGAGCTTTGAAGTAGAGGCCAGCGTTGCTTTCCTCCCCTAGAGTTTCGGGTTTAGGGTTTAGGGTTTAGGGTGGATGTTCCATTTTGGTGGGGTTTTAGCATCCGGGGAGGCTGTAGATACGTTGAAATTATCTACGAGTATTCTGGTTTTAACACAAACAAGACTAGCTACACCTCTATAACTGCCCATGAAACTCCAAGTATGGATCCTGCTCGGCAGTTCATTCCTTAGAGGCCTTCGCTCATTTCCGCAAATAGGGGGACCCGAATACAGACCCCCAAAAAAATCGAATTGTAGCCCTTACTCTGGGACCCCCCCCCCAAAAAAAATGGCCCTAAACCCTACATCTTGGGTACTGCCCCCACCCACTAACAGTCTATATTAGGGGTCCTATTAAGGGCTATATATACTCATATTATACTTATTATCCAACTGTTACGGAGGGGGGGGCAGTACCCAATCTACATCCTAGTCAAACTGATTTTAGGCAACTCCATCTGCCTGAGGAGTCTCTAGCACTAGAACTCCAAAAGACCATCCCAAGGCCCCTGAACCGCCTCTACCCCCACATTTTGGGTACTGCTCCCCTCCCCACTCGGGTTTTTTTAACCCTAAACCCTAAATCCTAGACTATAAACTCTGAGCCCTAAATCCTAAACCCTAAATCCTAAACCCTAAACCCTAAACTAGGGTTTAGGGCTTAGGGTTGAGGGTCTACGTTGAAATACTGCCCCCACGCTGTAGCAGTCTACAGTAGGGGTCATATTCAAAGCTATATATGGTAGTTTCCCTCAATAGGGTGACCCAATATACACCTAATATACTATAATCCTTATTATGGGGACCCCTACAAAGGTACCCCTAATTTTGTGAAACCCCCATATATAGATAGATATATATGTATATATAACTAGAATCTGCATGCTATCCAACTGTTACAAAATGGGGGACATAAAGTTACATCATTACACTTATAACTTTTTCCCCATGAATGCCCCGGCACTAGTCCCTAACCCCAGAACCCTGAAACCAAGCCCGCAAAACCTAAACAGGTTGAACCCTACTCCCTTACAGCACGCCAAGCTAACATTTTGGGCCACAAGGCTCTTCAAGCCCCTAGTTTTCAAGTTCTGGAGTCCCCTACCCCAGAGAGGTATATTACTGTCATCTACACGGCAACTTTCGAGAGACTGGATGATACCTGGTTATAACCGAGGTTCTTCTCTGCCTAGCCCCAACCCCAGGCTACAAGCCCCCTTAAGCAGATAGAATATGGCTTTGGGTATATTATAATAAGATTCCCATATACCCTGGGTATATTATAGTAAAATTCCCATATACCCTGCGCATATTAAAATAAGATCCCCATATACCTCATATTCTATCTACTTGAGGGTGACTATACAATCACTCTTCTGCGGGCCCAGTGGCAACTCGACGGAGCGCCGCCTCTTGAAGGCTGCCACGTCTCCTTCAACAAGTGGCATGTGAAATTACAGGGATATCCATATAGACCCCTTTGAAAATGTTCTGGGGATATACGAGGTTCAGAGCTCATCAAAATAGAGGTATCTTCAGGACAGAAGCACAAGGAGTGGAGTCCCCTGACGGGTTC